GTCGCGATCCTCAGGCTCCACCTACTTTGGCCTCCATGTATTCCGTCTCCAAGGTTCTCCTTCCACTCCTCCTCTCCCCCTGACTGATGCTGGGACCTCGGCGTGGTGGGTGGTCCTGCTGCATGCACCCGTCGGTTGAACGCCAGCGCACGAGGCACTGTCCAGCGGATCCTGCTTCGCCTCCCCATTCGGCACGTCGCCAAGCAGGTTTGTCGGTTTTAGTGGACACGCTGCTCCTGCCGCAATTCCTAGTGGCTCGGGGGGCACGCTTAGCTAGGTTCTCAGCAGTTCGCAATCTGGCTGTCGCACATCTGATTGAATGACGTGCTGCCACGAGCCACGGCAAGCATGGTAGCTTCAAGCTGTTATGGGAACATTGCGCACGCGACGCAGATCACCAACGAGCAGCTTTTCATGTGATTCGGTGGCTCCCAGCACTCCTAGCCATCTGTGCGTGAACGAACGGGGGATGGTCAGCGCACCGGTCGCCTTGGTCCTACACTTGCTAGATGAAGAATGCACCAGGCTGGCCCCTCCCAGGCGCGCGCAGCTCGACTGCATGGATCCGAGAGGAGCAGGCGAGCACGAGGACAAGTATGATCAGGATCAGGTGGATGCGCAGGAGCAGGAGCAGGAGAAGGGAGGAGCGAGGGATGAGGTGCAGGGCGGGGGGGAGCACGACGAGAAACAGCACGAGGATGAGGGCGAGGAGGAGGAGGTGGAGGACGACGAGGTGGAGGAAGAGGAGGAGGACGATACGGAGAGTGAGGAGGAGGAGGTCGAAGGTGGACATGTAGACGTAGAGCACCGCACCGCGGGGGCAGGGTGCGTCAGCGGAGAGCACCATACCCGAGGAAGTCCATGCGGACCTTCGCAAGCGTACGGTCATGTGATTTGCTGTGGTTCAACGGGCTGGGGCTCTGTGTCCTCCTCGGAGGGCCCTCGGTCGGCCTGGATTAGTAGGTCGACCCTGCCAGCTCAAGGGTACCCTTGTGTCCTGTGTTTCGCGACACGTGCCTTCTTACACTCCTATGGCGATGTGGCCCTCGGAAGGGTCTTGTGTCCTCTCGCGTGTCCTGTCCAATCAAGGCCGACTGTAGACCTTTCCAGACGATCCCCCCCCCCCCTCCCCGCGACGGCTGCCCGTGCCCCCGAGCAGCCCGCCTGTCCGAGCGCCTCTCGGGGGGGCGCGTTCTGCCTGGGCGCGGCCTTCCGCTCCTGGCTGTCGCCGTGCGCCCCCTCACGTCGGCGTCACCCTAACAGACTTATACTGTATGTGCGTCGCCCCCCGGGGGGCGACGCGCGCACCGAGGAATCTTATAGTATATGTGCCGCGGCGGGCGCTTTCTGGCCACACCGCTCGGGAAACGATATACTACAATATGGGTATACTATATGTTCAGGTCGGACGCGCGCCTCCAAGGAGAACATATAGTACTAGTATGTCTTTGCGCGTCCCATCACAGTGCAAGCAGCACTCGAACAGGTGTCCGCAGGGGCAACGACGGGGGGGGGCAGTCGCAGGGGAGAACGCATCGACTCCCCGTCGCTCAGTGGTCGCCAACAGGAGCCTGATGGCCTACCCCGCCTGGGGGCGAGCGGTTTCGCTCTCGGCGGCCTGCCGCCCTTTTGACGGCGATGCATCGCCGATCACAGACCGGTCTTTGCTCCCCCTATCGGCCCCTGTCTCATTGTTCAGCAGGAGGCACCCGCACACCACTGCCAGCCTAGGCTTAGGTCGGGCGTGTCCCCCCTGACCACCTCCGGGCCCCAGAGGGCCCTGGCCGGGTTTGGTGGTGACGTGCCGGCGCCTTCTGCGCAGAAGGCTCCTGCCGCTCACCGTGCGCACGCTTCCCTCGCGCGGCCCTCGCTGGCCGCCGCCCGCGGCGGCGCGCCCGCGAGGAGACCGGCGAGCCCATGGGTGACCCCACCATGGAGCTCGTCAAGGCCGCGTCCTCCCGCCGCAGCGGGTGGAGGGCGAGGTCAATCGGGTCCAGGATCTGGATGAATCGCTGCAGAGCGCTCTGGATCGCTCTCGGAGCGTTCCAGAGCGCTTTGAGAAGGCCACGGCGTTCGATATCTCCTTCACGCAGACCCCATTTGAACTCAGGTTTCCAGTTTATCGCGATCCGACATTGTCCCGATCTTGCATCCGTTTTTTGAGAATGAGGTCGAGGGGGAGGGGCGAAGGCAGGTGCGAGGAGGACCAGGGAGGGCGAGAGCGTGGACGAGGGCGCTGGCTGATAGGCTTGCAGGCAGGTGGTGGTCTCTGGTGGTGCCAACGGCCTCCCCCTCCAATATTCCCACCTCTGGGGAGGAATGTGCCCTGCGTGGGCGCAAGTTTCCGTATCCTGGTAAATCTTCAGGGCACATTGTCAGGGAGCATTCTGGATCGTTGCAGGGAGAGGTACAACTTGCAATTCTGCTATGGTTCGACACCAGCAGTTTGGCGTGTTTCGCCTTCTGCTTTTCGCGTTAGCTGCGCCCGTCGCACTGGATTTGGGAGCAGGCACGGGGACTGCGCATTTGGTTCATAGGAGGGCCATGTGATCCGTAAATCCCATCTGGCCCTGTGTCCACTCACACTGTGGAACAAACGCAGTTGCGCATGATAGTCGATTCGGCAAGGTTGGCCGTGGATTGGGGCCCGGCACCCTACGCTCCACGCCGTGTCGTCTGGGCGGCGAGTAATCGGCGACATAATCACCTTACTCTTCCTTGACAAGTTTGTTGTATCGTGTGTATGTCACGCGTGTGCTCAGCAAATCACCATAATTGCAGGCGTAGGCGGACGAAGAGTGGTACTTAGGGGAAGGGCACCAACGGTAGACCGCACTACAGCAAATATGTTTCGATTCACGTTTTGAGGCTCAGTGCGATTCTTTGCGCGACCAATCCGTAGGCGCTGCTTTCCTTGGTCATTTGAGCGTGTATCACATTGCTTTGATGGAAGCACTACACTCCCAGAAGGAGTACCGCTTTGAACGTCCTGTCCCGCTCAGTCCCTTCCCTGCAGGGGGAGGGGACACCAGCCCCCAGTTTGCGGGCACCCGCTGGCTGCGCGCCAGGGTGGTGGGCCACCGGCAGTGGGCAGCGCGGGCCAAGCCCGAAAGACCGAAAGTGCGCCAGTGGATCTCCCTGAATACACTAAAGGGGGGGGGGTCCAGACCCCCCCCCCCCTTTCCTTCAAGGGGGGAGGGGTCCGGACCCCCCCCCCCCCACACCCACTTTGCGCTGGAAAGGGGGGGGGGTCGGACCCACCCCCCCTCGTGTCCGGAGCACGGAGTTGGGAGTAGGGACTGGTGAATAGTGAGTAGTGAGTTAGTGCGTAGTGAGTAGTGAGTATTGTGTAGTGAGTAGTGGGTAGTGAGTGGCGAGTAGGGAGTAGGGAGTAGGGAGTAGGGAGTGGGGGGTAGTGAGTAGTGAATCGTGGGTAGTGTGTACTGATATGTGAGGAGTGAGTGGCGAGTAGTGAGTAGTGAGTAGCGAGTAGCGAGTAGGGAGTACTGAATAGGGAGTAGGGAGTAATGAGTAGTGGGTAGTGAGTAGTGGGTAGTGAGCAGTGGGTGGCGGGTTGTGATTAGTGAGTAGTGAATAGTGGGTAGTGCGTAGTGCGTAGTGAGTAGTGAGTAGTGAGTAGTGAGTAATGAGTAGTGAGTAGTGAGTAGTGAGTAGTGAGTAGTGAGTAGTGAGTAGTGAGTAGTGAGTAGTGAGTAATGAGTAGTGAGTAGTGAGTAGTGAGTAGTGAGTAGTGAGTAGTGAATGGTGAGTACTGAGTACTACGTAGTGCGTAGTGAGTAGTGGGTAGTGAGTAGTGATGAATAGAGAGTAGTGGGTAGTGACAGTGGGCAGTTAATAGCGAGTAGCGAGTAGGGAGTAACGAGTAGTGAGCAGTGAGTTGCGAGTAGGGCGTAGTGAGTAGCGAGTAGAGAGTAGTCAGTAGTGAGTAGTGGGTAATGATTAATGAGTAACGAGTGGGGAGTAGCGAGTAGAGAGCAGTGAGTAGCGAGTAGGGAGTAGGGAGTAGGGAGTAGTGAGCAGTGAATCGTAAGAAGTGGGTAGCGAATAGTGGGTATGGAGTAGCGATTGGTGAATACTGGGTAGTGGTAATGAGTAGTGACTAGTGAGTTGTGACTGGTGACAAGGCACTATGTAGTGACTAGTGAGTAGGGAGTAGTAAGTTGTGAGTCGTGATAGCGAGTATGCGAGTAGCGAGTAGTGAGTACTGAGTATTGTGTAGTCAGTATTGTGTAGGGAGTAGCGAATAGTGGGTAGTGAGTAGTGATTTGTGGGCAATGTGTAGTTAGTAGTGAGTAGTCAGTAGTGGATAGTGGGTCGTGGGTAACGAGTAATGATTAGTGAATAGTTAGTAGGGAGTAGTGAGTAGTGCTTAGTGAGTAGTGAGTATGGAGTAGTGAGGAGTGAGTAATGAGTAGTGAGTAGGGAGGAGGGAGTAGCAAATAGGGAATTGTGAGTAGCGAGTAGTGGTTAGTGGGTAGTGAGTAATGAGTAGTGACTACTCTTTGGGGCTGGGGTTGGTGGGTGGGGTTCGGATTTGGGGTTTAGGTTAGGGTGAGGACTAGGGGTCGGGGTGGCGGGGGTCGGGTTCCGGTGTCAGTGGGCGGCGTGGCGAAAGGGGGGAGGGGGGGGGGGGTCGGACCCGAAATGGAACGAATTACAACCGACTAGTCCCAATTCCAGCCGTTCGGAGCGAATAGCAACCAGAAGCAAGACCAAGTCCAACCACAAATGAGACCAATTCCAACCTGACCAAAAATGAGACCAATTGCAACCACGGATGGGATCTTCGGAATTCCTCCGGACCCCTTCGAATTCTTCGGAATTCCTCCGGATTCTTTAGGTCTCCTTCGGAATTCCTTGGGACTCCTTCGGAATCCCTTAGGATTCCTTCGGAATTCCTCCGGATTCTTTAAGACTCCTTCGGAATTCCTTAGGACCCCTTCGGAATTCCTTAGGACCCCTTCGGAATTCCTTAGGATTCCTTCGGAATTCTTCCGGATTCATTGGGACTCCTTCGGAATTCCTTGGGATTCCTTTGGGATTCCTTGGGATTCCTTCGGGATTCCTTGGGATTCCTTTGGAATTCCTTTGGATTCCTTCGGAATTCCCTAGGATTCCTTAGGATTTCTTTGGAATTCCATAGATTTCTTTGGAATTCCTTAGGATTCCTTCGGAATTCTTCGGGATCCCTTTGGATTCCTCCTTCGGAATTCCTTTTGGATTCCTCGGAATTCCTTTGGATTCCTCCTTCGGAATTCCTCCGGATTCCATCGCATTCTTCGGAATTCTTCAGCCTTCCTACGACCTTTACTACTAGTACTAGTACTAGTACTAGTACTAGTACTACTACTACTACTACTACTACTACTACTCCTACTACTACTACTACTACTACTACTACTTATTCTTCTACTACTACAACTACTACGATTACTATTACTACTACTACTACTATTACTACTACTACCACTACTACTACCACTACTCCTACTACTATTACTACTAGTAGTAGTACTACTACTACTACTACTACTACTATTACTACTACTACGACTACTACCACTTACTACTACCACCACCACCACCACTATTACTACTACTACTACTACTAATACTACTACTACTACTACTACTATTACTACTACTACTACTACTACTATCAATATTACGAATTGTATTACGACTACTAATAATATTACGAATTCTACTACGACTACGACGACTACTGCTACTACTACTACCACGGCTACTACTACTACTACTACTACTACTATTACTACGACTACTACTACTACTACTACTACTACCGCATAGACCACCCTTCGGGTGATAAGGAGGCGAGGGGGGGGGGGGGGGAACACCGTCGCACTCGATCGATCTCACTATCGACCTCGCTATCGATCTCATTACGATCTCATTCGATCAATCTCACAATCGATCTGGCTATCGGTCTCACACTCGATCTCAGTAGCGATCTCACTATCGATATCACAGTCGATCTCACAATAGATCTCACAGTCGATCTGGCACGTCGCACGATCGATCTCACTATCGACCTCGCTATCGATCTCATTACGATCTCATTCGATCAATCTCACAATCGATCTGGCTATCGGTCTCACACTCGATCTCAGTAGCGATCTCACTATCGATATCACAGTCGATCTCACAATAGATCTCACAGTCGATCTGGCTATCGATCTCACGATCGATCTCACATTCGGTCTCACGATCGATCTCACTACCGATATCACTATCGATCTCATTCGATCGATCCCACAATCGATTTCACATTCGGTCTCACGATCGATCTCACCATCGACATCACAATCGATCTCACAATCGATCTCACAATCGATCTGACTATCGATCTCACTATCGAACTGATTATCGAAGTCATGATCGACCTCTCGTTCGATCTCACTATCGATATCACTATCAATATCACAATCGATCTCACATTCGGTCTCATTATCGATCTCACTATCGAACTCACTATCGATCTCAGTATTGATCTAACATTGGATCGATCTCACAGTGGGTCTCACTATCGACCTCACTATCGATACCACAATCGATCTCACATATGGCGTCACTCTCGATCTCACCACCGAACTCACCATCATCACCACCATCATCATCACCATCATCATCATCGTTGTCAACATCATCATCATCATCATCGTCATCATCATCATCATCACCGACGGGACACCGACGGGACACCGGCGGGACACCGCGGGGCCCCAGCCGCCCGGAAGGGAATCATTTGGTCCGGCCGCGCGTTCGCCACACGGGACACCAGCGGGACACCGGCGGGACACCGCGGGGCCCCGGCCGCCCGGAAGGGAATCATTTGGTCCGGCCGCGCCTCAGCCACAGGAGACTTTCTCTCGCCCGCCCACGCAGCTTCGCCTCGTCCGCACGCACGGCACGCACGAACACGAAACCGAAATGGATTTCCCGGTAGGGGGGGTCTCCCGTCCACTTCGATCTCACCCCCTCACCTCCGACGACTACTACTACTACTACTACTACTACTACTATTACTCTTACTACTACTACTACTACTACTACTACTACTACTACTATTACTACTACTACTACTACTACTAGTACTACGACTCGTACGACTACTTCCCCTACTACTACCACTACTACTATTATTACTACTACTACTACTACTACTTCTACTACGACTACTGCTACTAGTACTACTACTACGAGTACTAGTACTAGTACTACTACTACTACTACTACTACTACTACTACTACTACTACTAGAACTACTACTACTACTACTACTACTACGATTACTACCACGATTACATCTATTACTAGTGTTACTACTACTAGTAGTACTAGTAGTAGTACTAGCTACTACTACTTCTAGTACTAGCCACTACTAGTGCTACTACTAGTACTACTACTACTAGTGCTACTACTACTACTACGATTACTACCACGACTACCACTACTACTAGTGCTACTACTACGAGTAGTACTACTACGACTACTACTACGACTAGTACTACTACTACTACTACTAGTACTACTACTACTACTACGACTACTACTACTACTACTACTACGATCACTACTATCACTACTACTACTACTACTACGACGACTACTACTACTACAATTATTACGACCAAGACTACTACAAGTTCGCCTACGACTACGACTACTTCTAGTGCGGCTACTACTACTACCGTTACTCCTACTACTACTACTACCACTATTACTATCAGCTCAACTACTATGACCACTACTACTACTACTTTTTCTTCCTCTTCTACTAATGCTACTACTACGACTACTGCTATTAGTATTACTACTTATTGCACTACTACTACGACTATTACTACTACTACTACTACTACTACTACTATTACTACTACTACGACTACTACTACTACTATTGCTATTCGTACGGCTACTTCTACTACTACCACTACTACTACTACTACTACTACTACTACTAATAATACGACTACTACGACTACTACTATTACTACTACTGCTGCTGCTACTACTACTACTACTACTACTACTACTTCTACTACTACTACTACTACTACTACTACGACTACTACTACTACTACAACTACTACTACTATTACTAATATTAATATTAATAGTAATAATATTACGACGGATTCTACTACGATGACTACTACTACTACTACTACCACTACTACTACGACTAGTGCTACGACTAGTACGAGTGCTACTACTACTATTATTACTATTACTACGACTACTACTACCACTAGTACTACGACTACTACTACGACTACGACTACTACTACCACTACTACTGCTACTACTAGTACTACTTTTAGTACGACTACTACTACGATTACGACTACGACACCGACTACGACTACTACTACTACTACTGCTACTACTACTGCTACTACGACTACGACTACTACCATTATTACGACTCAGACTTCTACAACTACGGTTGAGACTACTTCTACTACGACTACTACTACCACCACCACCACTACTACTACTACTACTACTACTACTATTACTAGTACTAGTACGACCACTACTACTACTACTACTACTACTACTACTACTATTGCTACGACTACTACTACTACTACTACTACTGCTACTATTTCTTTTACGACGACGACTACTACTACTACTGCTACTACTATTGCTCCTTATTTAACTACTGCTACGACTATTACTACTACTACTACTGCTGCTACTACTACGACTACTACTACTACTACTACTACTACTACTACTATTACTACTACTACTACTACTACTACGACTACTACTACGACTACTACGACTACTACGACTTACTACGACTACGACTACAAGTGCTACCACCACTACTACCACTACCACTACTACTACTACTACTACTACTTCTACTACTACTACTATTACTACTACTACTACTACTACTACTACTATTACTACTACTACTACTAATAATAATAATGATACTGTTGCGACTACTTCTACTACTACTGGGAGGATCCATTTTGCATATTTTAGAATCGATGTAATTCGGCGCGTCTCTGCTTACGCATCGGGGCCCTCTTGCTCATCTTAACGTAGTGCTCGTGCGCAGGCCAAAAACTGAGACCAATCCCAACTCTAGCACGCATGTTGGCTTCCAGATCCTCTGCGTTGACATAAGGGGTGCCACTTGTTCTTCGCTGTCGTCTTGGGCTTCCCTACGCTTGAAAATCTTTTTGTGGGGCTATCCCAAGCTGGTTGGGATTGGGCCCAGTTTGCTTTTCGCACTGGTTGGGATTGGTCCCAGTTGGTTGGGATTGGGCCCAGTGGGTTGGGATTGGGCCCACATGCGGGTCGGACCCCCCCCCCGTCTTGAAAGGGGGGAGGGGGGGTGGCCCCGACGACGGATCGGGGACAGAGGGGGGAGGGGGGGGGGTCCCCGACGACGGATCGGGGAAAGGGGGGAGGGGGGGGGGTCCCCGACGACGGATCGGGGAAGGGGGGGGGGTCGTAACCCCCACCCCCCGCTTGGGAGATCCAGCGGCGCACCCTCCGAAAGAACAGGCAGCCAGTAAGGCCGATCCGGCCCATGTCCGACTTCCGCGCAGACGACCCCCAGGCGTCGAGTGCAGCGCTGCTGCGGCAGAGGTGCCCGCGGGACCCAGACTGAACCGAACCGCCTGGCAAGTCGGCCGGTCCGCGTCGCCCCCAGCAGGCCCTGCTGGTCGCCGCCTACCCGCAGAACCTGGCCCTGCGGAGGCTTGGGCGGGGCGCCGTTCTGCTGGCCGCTGGCCGCCGGCCAGGGCCTCCTTCGGCACGATCGAAAGAAAGGGCACGCACGGAAAGAGTGGGCACGACGAGGACCGACAGCAGGTCATGTTCCTTTTGAGTAGGACTCACTGTCGGCGTCGCCGCGGGTCCATTCAAGACACGAGGCTTGCCTAAGAGAAACCGTTGTCGGTTTTGGACAACAGTTGTTCCTGGGCGTCGTACCCACTGCTTCCTTACCCGTTTCAGGCCTTTAAATCGTGGGCCCGGAGGATCTCATGGCGACGGCGCAGAGGATCAAAGCCTCCCATGTGGGGTCCGAGTAGTTCCAGGCCAAGGATCGCACTGCATCGGCGACGCATCGACGATGCGGCTCGATGTAGAGCCCGATTTGTTATCCACGCTGACGGCGCCGATGCATCTGCGATGCAGGGCGATCTTCCGACCCCATGTATTCGGACCCCATTCAGCCACAGGAGCATCTATTCGGACCCCATTCAACCACAGGAGGAAATGTCACGGATACCGGTGCTGTTCCGTCGCTTTCGCCTTTGGAATGTTCTTGGGGGTCGCTTCGGAATCCTGGTCAGTCCGGGGAGTCGCGATAGCGGTATCTTCGTGTTCCCCACTTGACAGGCTGGGGTCGTTAGATTTTAAGAGTTGGCCTCCCGGCCCGACCACCCTACATACCGCGGCCGCCAGATCCCCAGGTCCACCGAGTATCCTCCGAGACGCCCGCCTCGCGCTCACGACGAACACGACAGAGCCTGATCTCATGGAGGAAACGATAGCATGATCGCGCAGATCATAACATAACACAGTGTGACATACCATACTATCATAACACGACAGAGCTGACTATAGCATTTACTACATCATAGCAGCGCATGCTACGATAGAGTGGATCATACAGATCGCAACATGGAAAAACAACATTTCATAGAAAACCATGAACACGCATGAAATGACAGAGCGGCAAGTACATACTATGCATAAGGCAGTACATTGCAACATAACATGGCAGCGCCGATTGTAAACTACCATTGCAGCACATGTCATAAAGCACAAGCGTTTCGGCAGCCCGATCGTCACCACAACCCGATGGGGTTGTGGGGGAGACTCTTGCCCTGTGGTTGGCAAACCACAGCAGATGCGGGCCCGCCGTACCAACCCTGAGTCCCGATAGGGGTTACTCGAAGGGGTCCCCCGACGGGGGGGCGCGGGAACTACAGTCCTCGGAAAATGGGGTCTCCGCTGCTTGACGCCGGCGGCCGGTGGCCGTGTCTCGGGGTGGCATCCCGAGGCACCTTGCAACGGCGGCGCAGATGGGACGCCCGGGGCGCGTCTGTGCTGCCATTTGTGTTGCAAGGTCCGATTGCGTGTGAACTAGCTCATGCAGGCACATTGGGCACCTTCCTTCGGGTTGCATCATTCAGGTGTTTTGTCTGGGGATCACATCACAGCATAACATAACACATGGCGCACCGACGTACCATGACAACGCATGCGATGTCAGAGCGCGGCATAACCTGCTTCTTACACAACACAACATAACATAGCAGCGCACCATGACAGCATAGCGTATCATAAAACGCCGGGGCAACACTACATACCACCGAATGGTAGTATGGTGTGACAGATCCGACCATACGTAGCATAGCACAGCACGACCCACCATTACATAGTATAGCCTTCATGACATAGCAAGCCACGCATGCTTTACCATCGCATAAACGCACATATCATGAATTATCATACCCCGCATTATATGGTGCAGCTGATCACATCATACCATAGCAGCACATAGGCTACCATTGCATAGGACGGCACACCATATCCTCACACCGCGCGGTATCGCATGTGATTAAATAGTTGAGTGTACCATAGGATGGCCGAGAATCGTATACTACGGTATGGCAGAACAGAGCATGACCGAACGCAGCATCGAACGTTCCATAACACAACAACGCAACGGTTTCATCACATGCAGTACGACATCATGGGCTTCTCCACAGCAGAGGCATGTCGTGGCAGAGCGACGTGTATCATAATGGACGGAACATCGCACGACGTAATTGAAAACAGCGCCATGGTGGTAGCATCTTATAACATAGCCAGACAGCATGCACCATGCCACAACACGGTGGCACAACGCAGCGCATGCCATCAAACAGCAAACCATGTGGTGACAACTGCGAGCATACCACAGCATCGCTCAAGAGAAGGAACGCAACTGCGTTTAGATACATCACAACATATCACGTTGTACTGCATCGTGATGAACTGCGACGTGCGCACCGACGTCAGGCTGGCCACAGGAGCCAACAGGCGAAGCAGCGAACGACCACACGTCGCATCGATCGTGACAGGCGTCACGGCGTCACGTCAAACCGACGAGATCATAACAAACATATTAGGGCTGTACATGTCGGAGCATTATCAAAACAGCTAAATACAACGAATCGTGCACGCCGTAACCAGCATAACCTGCATAAGTGTTGTAGCACTGCGACCCCTGCGTCAACGATTGATATGTGACAGGATTGGGCATACATTCATGAAAACCGTATGTCATGGCAGCGCAGGCCATTATATAGTCTATCGAGGTGGTCGTATTCCCAAGCAGCATCACATGTGCCAGCATACCATAACGTACATTGACCGAACATCGTATCATGCCACCACGTGGTTCCACAAAACAGACCATATCATGTCATACCAATTCTTAGGTTGACATAATTGGCCATAACAGAACATAGCTCAAGAAAAAGGTTGACACAACCTTGAATACGAACTGCATAACATAATATGCCGTTCCATCACATAATCAACAGCGACGCGCGCGCCGAGGTCAGGCTGGTCACAAGAGCAAATTGTCGCAGCAACGGCCGATCGGACGACGCATCTAACGGCCGATCGACAACATGCCACACCAGATCAGAGCGTCGCAGATAGAATTTACCATACATAAGGCACGAGCGCGATGAGGTGAACAGCATGTTTTGGGATCTCGCAAGACGCGTTGTGGGGGCGGGCTTGTCGCTTCAGGGACTTGTTCCAGTTTTTTTCGTCAGGGGTCCGGGGTGTTCTAGAAATTCGGAACAACAGTTTGCGATCTGGCCAGGCCATCGCGTTAGCCGAGACCGCCAGGCCCCGCGAATATTTTTCCAGTAGGCGTGCGCACCGTGGGGAACAGACGCCGAATTTTCGGTGGGGATCGTTCCAAACAACATAATAGTCCTTGCTCCCGGGTGACAACCGAAGGCAATTTCAAGTCCTTTTTCTCGGGCTCGCCAATGTACTGGTTTATCGAAGTCCCCGTCCGGAGGGGCTTTGACAACGGCAGGGTGCGACCGGCCCACAGGGGAAGCATCGCCACCAACCGTCTCCAATTTGGGCTTGGGCCCCCTTCTCCACCCAGGATCGTGCCGTGTCCGTTGCCATGGTATTGCCATGGTTCTACCGACGATGCACCGCCGATTTCCAAGTCAAAGTCCCCCCCTGGGCCAGTTCCCCCAGTCTCCCTCCCTCTGAGGACCCGGGGGGGTCGTGCCCAGGAGGCCCCTCTGCCTGGCGTGTCGCCTGCCTCGGGGCCTTCAGCTCGAGGATGGTGGAGGCATCTGAGCTTGGCATCGCTCGGACGTGTGCATTTTTCCTTCGGCGAGGACCATCGAGGAGCATCTTTGATCATTTGGCGAAAAAAACGCGCACGAAACCGAACAAACATACAGGGAATGGACGTCCGAGCGATGGCCAGTGAGCGTCCTGGTTTTTTTGGGGGGTTGAGCCTGGAGGTCCCATGCAGACCACTGGAGACCCGCGCGGGAGGACGAGGAGGAGGAGGAGGCCAGATGCGTTTTGAGGTTCTCCGTGTTGTTCGTGGCGTTGTTGGGGAGCTTGTGATCCTTCGCAGTAGTTTCGGCCCTCCGGGAGCTCAACATCGACGGCATCACCAACGCTCCCAGTGGCGTTCTGTGGGTCGTGTCGTGGACTTGTCTGGAGGAGGGCGACAAAAGAGGGGACTGGAGATTTATTCCAGATCTGTCGGGCCGAATCAGATGACGAACGCGGGTGTGTTGATCTGGACCTGGCGTCTGGCACGTCTGGCCGCCGCGAAACGCTCACGACGGCACGACGGACGTTTTGTGTCTCGGCGGTTTTCTGCGTCCGTGAGGCGCGTCTGGGCCCTGGGACGGCCAGTCTAGGCCTCCCAGGTGGGGTCCGAGTAGGGTCGGTGCATCGCGCCGCATTGCCGATGCATCGCCGATGCGGCTTGATGCGGAGGTCGATTCTCTCAACGCCGTCGTCGCCGATGCATCGCCGCCGACGTCGACGCTGCATTGCCGATGCATCGACGGTGCAACGCAATCCTCCAACCCCGTCTGCTCGGACTCCATTTGGGAGGCATCTGGTCAGGAGACGAGCCGCGACGAAAAGGTGGTCCTAGAGATGGGGTCGGTTCGACTGTTGCTATAACCCGCCCCTTGCTGAGTCGATCAGCGAACTGCCTTTTTCCGTTCTCGACAGGATATTGCCCAAGAGGGGAAAACACACAGACACAATTAATCGTCCACTCCCAGGAACACATGGGAAACTATGGGAAGTGGTGGGGAAGACGAACACCCAGAAAATATATGGAAATGTTGGGAATCCTATAATTTGTGTGCACTCGTTTGTGTGTCCTTGGGCCCCTTCCACTGCGGCCGCACTCAACTTGCCCGGCCTGCGCCCGCCGTGTCGGGCCTTTGGCCAGATTCGCCGCGGAAGGGTGTTTTGTTGAGTGGGGTTCCTTCCAGCCCCGATCGGGACCTCCGGGAGCCCCAGGAGCCGTGGTCAAGTCACAAGTGTGGAGGTCTACAGTCGGACTTCATTGGACAGGACACGCGAGAGGACAAAAGACCCTTCCGAGGGCCACATTGCCATAGGAATGCAGGAGGCACGGGTCTCGAGACACAGGACACAGAGGGGTCAATATCGTTTCACCGATCCCATTTCGAGACCCCACGAAATTGACACACCAGTTGGGGATATACTTCTCGAAGCCCGAAGGATACGGCCTATATCCCCATCTAGGAGGGTAAATCGGCCGGGGCCCAGGCCACGCCGCTGGGGATGGGGATCGGTTAAACGATACTCATTCAGCCCCGATCTGGAGCTCCAGGAGCCTGGGAGTCGTGGGCAAGTCACGACGTGGGAGGTCTGGGAAGAGCTTCTATGGCGGTGGCCCATGCCTCCGACTTTGGGTGATTCGAAACGCGCAGGCGCTTGACCCCTTCCTGGTGCTTGAATCCCGACAGGCCCGAAAGCGGCTCTTCCCTAGAGGCCGAACATCACGAATCGGTTCCTGTTTGATTTGTGTTCGGACGCCGGAGGCTTGGATGCTGGAGGGAGGCGGTTTTCGGACGTGTACAGTCGGCCCGGACTAGTAGGTCGACTCCAATAGCGATGTGGCTTTTGCCAGGGTCTCGTGTCCTCTCGCGTGTCCTGTCCAATCAAGTCCGCCTGTATGCGGCTCCCTGGAGGCCCTCTGGTCCGTGGGGTTCCGCAGTGCGGACTGTTGATCTCGTTGCCTCACCCACGGTCCGCCCGCGACCCACGCGCGTTGTCTTGACTTGTGGGGGAAGATCAATGGAGAGGAAGCATGTTGCCAAATAATTTCCAGATGTCTGAAACATGTGTTAAACATGTTTGAAACATGTACAACACATGCTTTAAACATGTTCAGGACATTTTCCCACATTGTAAGCACATGTTTAATTCGATGATAGGACTGTTAGGGTGTCCATTGTCGTGGCATCCACCAGCCTTGACGTGCAAAATCGGCGCCTGCGGCAGACTCACTGCGCAACGCGTGAAAAAGCAGGCGCCTTCGGCGGGCTTCGAATTCTCGGTCGAAGCTCGCAGTCTGCCGAAGACCCCCCCCTCACTCTTGTCCGCATCTGTGGGGTTCATTGTACATACATATCATGTGTAAGCGGAGGAGGAAGAAGATGAATTTTCGTCGCCAAGGAGGCAGAGGCAGCAGCAGGCGCAGCAGGCGCAGCAGTGTAGCAGCAGGAGGTGGCGGCCGAGGGGGGAAGGGGATGTTGAGCAGCGGCATCTGCAGGAGGGGCTGCCAGGGGACGAGGGAAGAGGGCGGGCGGATGATAAACAGAGGAGGGGAACGGAGGAGGAGGGACGATGGAGGAAACGGATGACCATGAGAGGGGGGAGGACAAGCTAGATGCGTTCGCGCCACATCTGACATTCTACCTTCGCTCCTATCCCTTCCAATTGCGATACTTTCTTTTTATCCGCCAACGGGTGTCATAGCGAATCTGAAACACGCGAAAGGACCCCGTCGTGTTACACTACTGCTCGGTCTGAAAGAGGGAGTTGTGTACAGTGGGTGGGGAGGTGGCGGTTGAGCGGGAGGATGAGCAGGAGGAAGGGGGAGGACGAGGAGAAATGGCAGCAGCAGGAGCAAGACGACCGGGAGGAGCATGAGGACCAGAGGCAGGCGGGGGAGAAGAGAGGCAGGGGGCGACAGCGACGACGAGACATGCGGATCCAGATGTGTGGCAGGCGCTGGGGCGAGAGCGCCACTCTGAACGACAGGAGCAGAGCGCGGATCCTAGAATGAGGCCAGGCTGTAGCCGGAGCGCCATCCTGGAAGGAGAGCAGTCGACCAGATTTGAGGGACACTCGACGATACAGACCAACTCGCCCACATCATGCGTGTGAAGACAATGCGCGGAGGGGTATGGATATTCTCAGCCTGTCTTCGGGGGGGGCAGGAAAGTGGTATTCAGATTGAGTAATTGTTGAGTGGTCGGAGGAGGGGGAGGAGGGAATCAAGCCTTTCTGCTGGAGGCGTCTTGCGCTGCAACGCTGTCGGTCGCAGCACTGATACGGGCTCCTATGCCGACATTGTCTTTCTCGCTGAAGCCACCCTGCGACCCGTGCCGCCTTGTCCGGGCTGGAAGTCGCCAGGCGACGAAGTTCTATAATTTTCCATTGCGCCGCGAGTTCGCGTGGACATTTTGAACGGCGATGCCGTCTACAGTCAACACTGATGGTAAGCATGAGCGACTTTTCAAGGTTTCCCTTGCATTCTTCCCCGTCGGCCCATCCTTGGCCACTTTCGTTATCCGCGCCCCGCTCCTCAAGTGTCGGCACGGCCATCCATGGCCCTTCCATCCTCCTCGTGCATCCTTGCTATCACTTCTGACTGCACGGACGTTTCACAAAAGTCCCAAGTTGGGGAGAGCCAGCGGCTCCTCCGCGGAGGCTCGCGGCAGGGTGTGGCTCCAGACCTTTTGGCCTGCACCGCGTAGGTGTCTGGCGCTCGTGCGGGAGGAGGTTTCTCGTCCGACCCGTGTTCGATGATTTGACGGCGAATTATTGGTTTCTCTTGCTTTTATGGTTTACCTTCTATCTCTTCCTAACACATTGGTCGGTTCCCCACCCAAGTCTCCTTTCCGCTGCCCCATCTGGCGGCGGCAGGCGCATCAACATGGCCAAGCACAACACTGCCACGGGCCTGGATGCCATCATTACGCCCCAAAGCGTGAACGCGCCCCCGAAGGCCTTGCCCGCACCGTTTGCCGTGACTCTCGTGCACCTTGCGCGTGCGCATCGGCAGCTCGGCGTGGCGTTGAGCAGGTGTAGCAGGAGGAGGGGGGGTGATTCGGAGGTCCTCCCTCAATTCAACCTCTCCTTCCCTTCTCCTCACTCTCCTCCCTCGTGGGCGGGAGACATATCCATAAGCTCCACCTCGCGGGCCAGGCCTCTTGGCTAAGATCCAATGGATACGGGGCGATGTTTCGCGGATGCCCCGCAACGCATCAATGCGACCGCTCATCCACGGGATCGCGCCCCAATATCCCGACCTCGAGGATGTGGATATGGACATCTCCGCTCACGTATCCCCTCAACCTCTCCTCCCCCAAATCTCCCTCCCCTCATTTTTCCAATGGGAGGACGACGGAGAGGTGCAGGGACCGCAAACAATGGATGGAGGCGCGCGGGTCAGCACAAGCCCCCCGCTGACGTGGGACATCGGCGCGCGCCGTGGCAAGATCAGGCGGCATTTGATAGGCTTGTTTTCCACCAGCACCACCACCATGAGTCAGAGTCAGAGTGGGTCCTCCTCCTCCTCCTGCTCCTCCTCCTCCTCCTCCTCCTCCTCGTCCTCCACCTCCTTCCCCCCTCCAGCTTATGGTGGTGGTGGTGGTGGACAACAGGCCTATCAGCATTGGCTTCATGCTTCGGGTGGAATGGTGCCCCCCAACCGTGCCCATGCGCTAGATCCACGGATCTGTAGTCCATTTAGCGTGTGTTTGGGAATGAGGGGACGAGAAACGTGGGGCACGCTGGACAGAAGACGATAAGATTGCGACTTGGAGCTGAGTCGGTTGGCATGAGACGAGCAGTGCAGCGCCGCTCTGGGAGCTGCCTGCACAGACACTTCTTGTGCAAGCAGAAGAGCGAGCACTGCGCAGTGTACCCATGGCAACAGATAGTTCCATAGGTCGGCTTCCGCGTGAACTTCCACACATAGTGAGCGGTGGCGGATGTATCAGTCAGGCGATGCATGCCGTTTAAACGCGGATGGTGCATGTTTAGGTTGCATGGCCACATGTCCATATTTATGTGTTCGTGACACGCGTATGTTTGCACATGTCTTCCCACGCAAGTGCGCGCACGTGCATGTGCAGACACAAACGCACACACACACACAGACACACACGCACGCACACGCACACGCACACGCACACGCACACGCACACGCACACGCACACGCACACACATACATATGTATAGATGTGTATATATATATATATATATATAGACTTTCAGATTCACACGCACAATATTGGCTCTGCGCTAGGGGGTCCCCGATCGCGCTGGTCACGACGTTCCTGCCCATGCGCGTCTTGCCGTGACCCCGTCTTGTACCTTCTCCCGCCTCTGCGCCCGCGCCCGCTCCTGCTCTGGGCCGGCTTCCCAAAGCGAAGCCCGCCGGCCGTGCCCCGCGCGCTCCGCCCAGCCCCTCTTCTCCCCCTCTTGTTGCTCCCGTCAGGCTGACCCTCGTTGTCCTGCCTCCTGTCCCTGCCTGCGCCCTCCCTCTCCCTGGATCGCTCGCTCACTCCCCTTTCCGCTTCTGCCCCTGCGCCTGAGGAAGGAGACGCCATACCACCGCCACCACCAGGCGTGCCACCTCCAACGAGGAGGCCCACGATGCCTCCCGAGGCTGGGGATGGGGGACGTCTCGAGGTGGGGAGGGGGGTCCTCGAGCGGGGCGAGGACGATGACAGATCCGTTCCTTTGCGTTCTGGAAGGCTCTCAGAGCGTTCCGGAACGCTCTGAGAAGGCAGACGCCCGAGACATCCGCTTGAACCGACGGATCTCAGAGATTCTTCATGGATCCTCACCCGGTTCTGTCCTCGCCTGGCTTCGTCCTGGGACCGCGCCACCAGGAGGTTGCCCCCCTGGTGGTGGTGGTGCCGATGGTGGTGGTGCCACTCGAAGCGCTGCCAGTGGTGGTGCCGATGATGGGCTTGTCACCACCACCACCAGAAGTTGGAGTGGGAGGGGGTCCTCCTCCTTCCTCCTCCTCTTCCTCCTCCTCCTTCTCCTCCTCCTCCTCCTTCTCCTCCTCTCCTCCTCCTCCTCCTCCTCCTCCTCCCTCCCCCTCCGCCTCCCCCTCCCCCTCCTCCTCCCCCCTCCTCCTCCCCCCTGATCCTCCTCCTCCTCCTCTTTCTCCCCCTCCTCCTCCTCCTTCTCCTGCTCCCCCTCCTCCTCCTCCTCCTCCTCCTCCTCCTCCTTCTCCTCCACCTCCTTCCCCCCTCCACTTGTTGGTGGTGGTGGTGGTGGAAAACATGCCCATCAGCCGAGTCCTCGCCCCCCACCGCGCCGGCTCCTCGGTTCCCGCGCCCGCCGCCCGCAGAAGGCCTGCGCACGCCAGCCCCCATGCCTGGCCAGGGGCCGCTCTGCGCCCCGGGCTGGTTCGGGGGGGCAGGTGAATCAGTGGCGAAGCGTCCTGGCTCGCCTAGGGGCCTACGAAAGAATGTTCTCAGGACATTTTGCGGTTTGCACGAAATGTTCTTAGAGCATTTTTGGCTGGACTGACTCGTTTTGACACACCGGGCTTCTGTTCTAAGAACCTTGTTTTTGTTCTGGGAACACATTGTTGGGTTCTACGAACATGTCGTGGTAGGCCTGTAGGATTGCCGGGACGGTCGGTCCCTGCTCAAAGGAAGGGATAGGCACATGGGGGGGACGCATCGACCCCCAATCGCTCATTGATCGCCGATAGGGGCCCGGTAGCCCCATCCCGCCCAGGAGTTTCACGGGGATTTGCCATCGGGGGCCTACCGCCGATCCATCGGCGATGTATCGTCGAGTCCAGGTCGATGCGTCCCCCCTATGCCAGTCCCCCCGATCGTTAGCCTTCACCGGTGGCCTGGCAGATGCACAGACTGGAGGGACGCACAAGTAGTTAAATAAGCCGAGATCCCAGGATTCCCCATGTTTTTCCATGTTCTCTGGAGTCTCGTCTTCCTCTCCACTTCCATAATCTTTCCTTGGGAACGGACGATTACTTGTGCCTGTGCTTTTGTCCCTCCTGAAGAGATGGGGTCCGAGCAGATGGGGTCGGAGGATCGCGACGCATCGCTGATGCATCGGCGAGGCATCGAAGACGTCTACGAGGCACCGGCGACGCGGGCACGGCGTACGCGCCCCGCCGACCCCGGCACAGTGTGGGGCGCCACTCACGGAAATTCGGTCAGGAGGGGCTCTGCGCACCGCACCCAGGGCCCATGGCGGCCTTGGCCAGGCACGGTGGGCTCCCAACTTGTGCGGACTAGCACTGGGGGGCTCAGGGGGCAAGAAGTCAGAGGAGGAAGCGGCACCTATACCGCTACCCTTCCCTCGTTTTCTTTGTCTTCGGGCCTCCTGGGAGGCCCTCGCCGCCACCGCTGGATTCGCTTCGAACTTCTGGTTTGAACGGACCCCAGGAGAGGTCGGGGGAGCAGCGGTATCTGTGTTTTTCTTGGTTTCCGCAAGAAGGGTTTGGGGGCTCGCCTCTCCACAGAGACCTTTGGCCAACGTGTACCCTTACCCGGGAGACCGCTATGTCGCGTCTTCAGCCCCTGAGGTGCCAAAGGGGTAGGCGAGTTTATGCGTTAACCCGCTTTAGCAGGTTTTGGTTGCCCGCTTTTTCGGGGAATCCCGAACCTTACAGCCTTCTGCCTTCTGGGCCCTCTGCGCACCCCGCCCCCCCCGGTGTCGAGCTCAATGAGAAGACCGATCGGCTCAAGACAGCACGCTTGTGCCGCCCTCCCCCTGAGTGATTGAAAGCGGCCCTGGTGCCGACCCCTCGAGTAATTAGGGGATCGACTACAGAATCGATTTACCCTCAAATGGGTTACTTGGTTGAATCCATGATCAATACGTAGAATGATAACGGAGAGAAGCCCCAATCAACATCATTTTGGGGGGCTATAGGGCTATGGGGTAATGGGGTTTTGGGGCTAGCGGGCTATAGTGCTAGAGGGCTAGAGGGCGATTTGGCCATAAGGCTATAGGGCTATTGGGCTAGAGGGCTATTGGGCTATAAGGCTATAAGGCTATAGGGCTATTGGGCTATAGGGCTGCAGGGCTATAGGGCTAGAGGGCTAGAGGGCTATAGGTCTATAGGGCACCGAGCACCCGGGCGGGCCGCCAAGATCGGCGGCGCAGCTAACCGAACAATATGAATCCGCTAGGACCCTTACAGAGGCAAGTTCTGATTGGGGAATGTTCGTAGATCTACGAACAGTCTACGCACCGTTCATAGTTTCGACGACTAGTCAAGTTGAGGATAAATCAATTCTGTAGTTAGTCGATCCCCTGCTCGACCCCCCCGGAATAACGGCGGGAGGCGAACTTCCGTCGGCCTGGGTGGGCACGGTGCCTACCCATGCCGCGGCGCGCCGAGGGGGGAAGGGAGAGGGGGCAGGCTTTGTCGGATGGTGGCGTGGCTTCCCAGAAGCCCTCCAGCCTTCCGAGAAGCCCACCACGTGGGCTCGGCAAGCTTCTCGGAAGGCTGGAGGCTTTCCGAGCCTCCTCAAGTTGATAAGGCCCTCCCCTTCGGCCTTCTCCCCTTAGCGCGCCGCCGACTGGTGCTTTCTGCACATCCCCCCCCGGCGCACCCAGCCTGATGGGCCTGTTTTCCACCACCACCACCACCGTACGTTGGAGGGGGGAAGGAGGAGAAGCAGGAGGAGGAGGAAAAGGAGGAGGAGGAGGACCCCCTCCCCCTCTACCTTGGGGTGGTGGTGGTGGTGGTGGAAAACAGGCCCATTACAGCCGACCGCGCACCGCGCGCACTGCCCGCATCTCGCCAGAGCGCCGCCGTGGTGCCCCCCGCGCCGCCTCCGCCGCAGGCCAAGGCAAGCACGGCCGGGGCTCCGACGGGTGGCGACAGGCGGGAGCCGAGCTGGTGGTCCTACGGCTCGATGCAGATCTCGAACCGCCAGGCCAGGGGCGAGGAGGCCAGGGAGGAGGCACGAGGAGGAGGAGGGAGAAGTGATGAGGCGGAGGGAGGGAGGAGGGAGGGAGGGAGGAGGGAGGGAGGGAAAAGGAAAGGAGTCAGAGGAGGAACATGTACCGATGTTGCTCGCCATTCCTTTTCGGCACGGCTGGGTTCGCCTCGAAATCCAGGGAGGAGGAGGAGGAGGAGGAGGAGGAGGAGGAGGAGAAGGAGGAGGATGCAAAGCTGGAGCAGCTGGGGTGGGGACGGCGTAGTCCCTCCTTGAGCCGTCTGCCGGCCTCCGAGGTCCAGGGAGACGACATGGGGGCTTGCTGGTGGCTGGACGAAAGGGCTCGAAGTGTCAGTTCGTGCTCCCCCTCTTGGGCCCATCGTGGGGCCGTCTTGGGGGCCTCTTGGCCCTCTCGGCGACCTCGGGGGCCATCTTGCGGCGATCTTGGGGGCCTCTTGGGCCGTCTTTGGCACCCTTCAGGCCGACAAGGGGGGAATTCGAACAAATCGTGCGAAAACGTGGTGTCAAGATGTCTCGAGCGGGACGTCAGCAGACAGAGGTAGCACCCACCAGGGTGGTGGTGGTGGTGGCCTTGCCGAGGGGGCCTCCAGACGGCCGGTCCCGCCGACCTTGAAGGGGGACGACGTAGAGGATGGCGACGACGACGACGACGTCGCTCGCGAGCCCTAGTGGGGGCCCCTGTAGGCCCTGATTGCCTCGGGACTTCCTCTCGGGACCGCCCCCGGCGATCCCCCCCCCCCGGACCTCCCCCCCACCGGCGGGGAAGGGAGCAGAGGGAAGCCTCGGAGGTTCCATTCGTCTCGATTGGTGTTGACCCTTTGCGGGTCTGTGGTGCCCTTTTTGCGCCGCATAGGTCGGAGAGGGGGGAGGGGTCACGACCCCCGGGATCCCTCCCTGGAACCTCTCCCAGGACCCCCCCGCGACCCATCCCAGGACCCCCCCGCGGGGAGGGGATCCAAGGGAAGGGTTTTCTTTCTGAGACAATTGCGACGTTGTTCGACTTACGTTTGGCTGGATCGCTTGAGGAGGAGGGCCCAGGAAAGGGGGAGAGTGGCGACGACGACGACGACGACGACGACGACGACGACGACGACTCGAACGGAAAAGCGGAGCGGCGCTGGCGGCGACGACGATTCAAGTTGAAAAGAAATGTCTCACACACGCCGACAGGGTCGGTGGTGTTGTTCAATGCGCGGCTCCAGAGATCCTGACCCTTTGTCAGGGCCTGCTTCTAGTCCATGATCAATGCTTGATGGCCCTGGAGCCCAATGGCAGCCCCCGAGATCGAAATCGAGGCAGTACCCGAATTAAGATACTCGTGTTAGTCAACGTGGATGCCGTGGTCCCTGCAGCTCTGGAGTCCCTTCCGACTTGCTGGGCCCCGCCCCGCACTCCAGCCGCTGGACCCACCCCTGGGTACGCTCGTGATGCCGCCCCGCGCTCGCTGCCAGGGGCTGCTACACCGGCTCGGCCGCCCCCGCGCGCCCCGTTGCGGCCTCGCCGCGTGAGTGCGCCTTCCCCCTCTCCACTCCGCTGCCCGCCCTCTTCTGTTCCCTCCTCCTGCATGTGGGTTGCTTGGACGCGCGTGCGGACAGACTATGCCGCACCGCGGAGCAAACAACTAGTCAGCGTGGACCCCGAACACTGCGGTTCCCGCAATCGACGCTGTGCAATCTATGTCGTGCAGTTTAACTGGTGCAACTCACGTGGTACAACATATGTTGTGAAATGGCAGTAGTGATGCAATGTATATGGGGCAATGTGTGTTGTGCACGATGTAATGTGCATGCTATGTTAAACAATTTGTTGCTTGCGATCTATATTGTCGGACGCACGTTGTGTAAGTTGCACTGTGCAATATGTGGCGTAACGCCTACGATGTGCATCGTGTGTGGTGCAATCGTAATAATGCGATCGACGTGTCGCAATGATGAAATTCTTGTTGTGCAAGTGAGGTGCGGCAACATACGCCAACAACTGTACGTGGTGGAATATAGGTGGTGCAATGCATGTTGTGCAATATACGGGGTGCAATACGTTGTGCAATCTATGTGGTACAAATTCTGCTGTGGCGTAGTACATGTGGTGCGCTTTATGCTTCGAAATAAATGGTCAGTAATATGAATTCCAGTGCACGTGGTGCATTACACGTTGCAGTCGATGTGGGGAAAATCGTGTGAATCAATGTATTTGGTGAAAATCGTACGGTGCACAAGCTGTTTTGTTCGATTTTGGTGTCAAGATAGGTGAAACCACTTGTGTGGTGCTATGGGTGGTGAACAAATCTGTGGAGTACTATTTGGAAGGCGACCCATGTGGTACACTGTATGCTGAGAAATATCAAGACGAAGCGCTCTGGGTTATGCAATATACATATGTTCGTGGTGCACTCCATATGTTGCAAACGCAAGGCGGCGACGATGGCGACGGCGACGACGGGACGGTGACGACGAATCCATGACCACATAGCCGCCAGGCCGAACTTCAGGGCCAGTTCGGGAAAAACACAACGATGATCACTTAAGTGCAAGCACCGTTTGGGAATATCATCTGATATTTGGGGGCCCCTGCCGAGAGGGGGGGGCCGGCGACAAGGGGACCGGCATCGGCGCCGGCAGGGCTTCTTGCGGGCCACCACGCTCATCGATCCCTACCACGTCGCGCTCTTCGGCGGCCTCCATCATGCGCGCCGCCGCATCCCCAGCCTCCTGTGGGGGAGGGGCCAGCACGAATGAAAGGGGTCATGCATGTAAGGTGTCCTGGGAGTCTTTTCCCGTGTTCGAGATTCAAGGTTCGAGGTTGTCGGATGTAGTTGTCGGCTCCTCCTGGTTTTCCAACTTCGGAGCGCGTTCTTGCAATTGCGCCTCGCCGGGAGCGTTTCGGGGGTGCCCGGGTCGTCCCGAACGGCCGCCAGAGAGCCGAATCATGACCCGAATGCCAGGGGCAACGCTATGAGGGCTCAGGTGGAGTTCGACGACGCCGACGACGACCAGAGGAGGGGAAAACAGGTTAATTGTAGGGGCGGACAGGCTGGATTGGCTTTTTGGGAAACGCATCACACCCCAATCGTCGATAGATTCATCATCACCGATAGGGGCCCTACAACCTCAGATCCTCAATCGGTCTTCAGTTTGGGCCCCCCCCCTCCTATTGTCCCGGCGGGAGAATCAAATTCGGCCCTCCTCCTCCTCCCCCTCCTCCTCCTCCTCCTCCTCCTCCTCCTCCTCCTCTTCATCTTCATCCCCTCTTCCTCCTCCTCCTCCTCCTCTTCCTCCTGTTCCTGCTCCTGCTCCTGCTCCTCCTGCTTATGCTCCTGCTCCTGCTCCTCCTCCTGCTCCTCGTGGTCGTCATCGTCGTCGTCGTCGCGGCGGGGACTAGTTTCCTGTTATTGTTGGGAGTGATGGATGATATTGGGGGGATTTGTCTGCACGGAGTAATCCATTGTGGGCGACCGTACACGCGAGAGGATTTATGAGCATCTCATGCGGATTGCAATCGTCATCAGTGGTTGTGGTTGTAGGCGTGATTATAGTCGTGGTTGTTATCGTGACTGTAGCCGTTGTGATTGTGGTCGTAGCCATAGTCGTATTCGTCGTCGTCGTCGGGGCGAAGATTGCTTGTCTCCTTCAACTATTGGGCGGGCAGAACAATGTTTTTTTTGGGGGGGTATATTCTCCCAGGGGACCTTGTTCCCTGGGCGACGCTGCCCGACGAAGGAATTCTGAACACGCCGTAAGAGGATTGCAAGATAGATCGACACATTCTTCGCAGAAGAAGGTGTTCACAAATTCCTCCTTCATCTCGTCGTCGTCGTTGCCATCTATGGTGCTCAGATTTTCCATGACAGCGCTCCTGAGGCATGAGGAGTCGTAGTCGTCGTAGTTGTAGTCGCGCTCGTACGCGTAGTTGCAGTCGTAATTGTACTAGTAGTTGTGGTGGCGAACTACTCGTAGCCGTAGCCGTAGTCGTATTGTGGTTGTAGTCGTAGTCGTCGTCGTAGTCGTCGTCGTCGTCGTTGTGGTGCGGCTGGCGGTGCTGAGAAATCATTATTCATTACCCACTATTTGTTGGGATCCCTGCCCCTCGCCTGCAGCAAAGGGGCACTGGCAGTTGTTCCCCGTGTCCGGGCTCCTCGCGGGGTCCTTCCTTGGCGCTGCGGTTGTCCACAAAACCGGCTCACGAACAGACGGTCTTGGGGAAGATCCCCTGGACGAGGACCCGAGGCCAGATTTGTTTGATAAGTTTGTATCGTGAATGATCTTTTGGACATAAGAACACATAGTGTAAAACATCGAATGTTTATATAGAGAATGTGTGTACTTTAGGTAATGGCAATGACTTTTTTGTAAATAGCTAGAACTGCGCATCAATTAGAGAACTGTGTACATAGAACACATATATATATGATAGTGTAGTGCTATAAATCGATAGTAGTATAATTGAATAGATGCGTATACATATATTTGGAGGGTGAAAGTGGGGGTCGGGCGCAGGGCCCCGGCAATGTTTTTTTAAGGCCACGAATGGGCGATACATCCTCGATTGCTGTGTTCGGCGGGGGAACTAATTGAAGCCCCCCCCCTGCACCCGCGCGCGAGACTTGAGGGGAAAGGAAGCAAGGTGGCGGGGGGTTCGGGAAAGGCGACGAAGGCAACGTGCGTTAAGGGCGCAACAAGAAAAGGCTGGAACACACGAAAGCGGTCAGGTAAGTGTCGAAATCTGCCCAGCCTATCTGACATGCGGAACACTGCGCCTCAGTTTTTGGGATCTTGAAGGCCAGGGCAAAATGTGAATTCACAGTGTGGGGAAGAGCAACATGTGAATTCACATGTTGGGAAAAAGGGAAATGTGAATTCACATTTTTGGAAAAAAGAAAATGTGAATTCACATTTTGGACTTTTGTGTAGGATTCTTTATGAATGGGCCAGAGTGTGAATTCACATTATGGGAAAAAGGAAAATGTGAATTCACATTTTGGGAAAAAGGAAAATGTGAGTTCACAGTTTGGGAGAATCGCGGGGCCCATTCCAAATCTGTCTTGGGGGTCGAGAAGTCATCGTTTGGGAAAATACGCGATCATCAACCGCACAATCAAGACACACTTGCACTCCACTTCGCCGACCCACACGCAATATGCAAGAACGCCCGCACGCATGAACGATAATGGATGGACGGCGCGTGTGACCGCGCGGGCAACGCGCGGGCACGAATGACTGGCCATCAATGACCGCCAGCATTGGATGCCAATCGTACCCGATCACATACATGAACGATACATTGAGCATACATGGGCCATTCAGCCCCCATTGAAGACCCCCTGTTGCAGACCCCCTCTTTCACCCTCCAATATATGTAGAGAGAGAGAGTGACGTGCATACATAATAATAACAATCGAGAGTGGGACTGTCAATAACTTTGTATCGATAATCGTGTATCGACATTCGATAACATAGAGTTACTCACCAGAATCCGCCCCCCCCCGGATATCAAAAACAAATAATCTGCCCCCCCGAATCCCAGCCCCCCCCAGACCGTCTGGACGACCCTGCAAAGAGTCCCTGGCGGGCCTCCCGGACGGCCCAGGCAGGCAAGGGCAACGACCCGAAACGGTCGGTCATTGGGGCGCTCAGACAACCCTGAGCGGCCCCGAGAACCCCCGAGATTGTCCAAGGCGACAAACGACGATCCTCCAGAGACATTCTCCAGGACAACATCTGTTGATTCCCCATGCATCTGCATGATTTCAAGTTGCCCGTTTCTTCGCCATTCTGGGCGGCCCGCAGATCGCCGCAGGATGACCCAAAACAGTGCCATGCTAAATAGCCCAGCAGGGCTCCGAGAATCTGAATATTAGAGCTCGTCCTCAAGATCGCTCACGCTGGTGACGATGAGGAAGAGCAAGAGAAAGTGTGTGTAGATGTCAATTATCGTGATAATTGTCAGTGAACACCTTTTGTCCACGATATGAACGGCCGCGCTGTCGTGTGCGCGGTCTGCCTGGCACAGCCAGGCTCTGTCAGAAAGAGTCCCGCCCTCCCTCGCCTTGAGCCGAGGGTGGCGGTGGAACGGACAGGGCAGACGGGCAGGAGACTGCTGCTGCTCAAGCTTACTCCTGCGTATCTTTCAGACAGGGGGAAACAAGGTTCTGCCCTGTACCGTGCGCGCAGGCAATCTCTGCGCTCCGTGTGTGCTGCTGGACGAACTTCTGATGGGCCTCGATCTCCTGCTGCAACTTCTGGATCATGATCAGGGATTCGGAGGCCGAGAACCCAGTAGAGGTCGTCGAGCTGGAAGGGTTCCCTTCCATGCTGGCTGGTGGTTGTGCCTGGCGGGCCAACCTACGCTCCTCGAGTACCTGACGAGCTGAGGCCGGGTCGGTCGGGTCCGTCTCGTCGAAGATGCCCTTGCCAAGAGCTGCCCGCTTGCGAGCGCTCATGAACTGCTCGTCGTAGATGAGGCGCCACTGCTGCTTCTCGAGGAAGGCCCGGACCACTCCGAATGCCTGCCAGCTTGCCTTGGTGAGGCCGTCGGCGATCTGTGCGTGTGAGTGAACCCAGCGCACGACCGTTTGACCCTCGTCCAAGGCATTGCGGAGAGCCAAAGCCTCGATGGCTGTCCTCCGCTCTTCCAGTCCCAGTCCCGCCGACTGAGATCGCACCACGCCGTCGTAGAAGGCCTTGCAGTCCGTCACCAGGATGGCTGGTAATCGTCGTAGTGCTGCTGCGGTATCTTGCAGTGGAGACATATTGTGTAGAAGTTCGGCAAGTACCAGTCGCACCATGCTCTGTTCGCCTTCGGCGTCGCCGGCTTCCTGCACCTCCGCCGCCAGGCTTGACCGAGCCACGCGGCGCAGCTTCTTGGAGCCCCAGTCGAGGACCGTGAACTCGGAGAGCTTCCCGTCCATGGCCGCCTTGGAGGAGATAGCGGTGATATGACCACCCTGGGAGTGTCCATCCGGGCGGCTGGCCCAGGCTGCGTCGCACCAGGTGAAGATGGCGAGGTCGTCCAGGGCGTGCCGGTAGATCCTGATCCCCATGTGGCGGCTCTGCTTGACGAGCTTGACGATGTTGTTAGCGGCCGTGAAGAGGTTGTGAGTACCTGCTGGTATCTTCATCTGGAGGTCGGCTACCCACGATAAGAGAAATGGCATGGCATTCACGCCAAGCCAGTAGATCTCGCCGCAGAACGCCCTGAGCACCGTCTTGTCAGAGTCCTTGAGGCTGTCGGTGGTCCGATGCTTACTGCCGCTGGCCGCCTTGACCTCATTGATCTTGTCGATGTACGACTTCTGGTGGAGGAAGAAGCCCTGCTCGCTCTCCTCGATGGTGACGCCGCACTGTTCGAGAGAGGTGAGCCCGTCATTCATGTCCTCCCAGGTGCCCCACTTGTAGAGCCCTCGGATCTGCTTGACCATGTCCTGCCACTCAGGGTGGGAGGTATCTCCTGCCATGATGAAGTCGTCGACGTGGGCCATGATCATACCGATGAGCATACCCGTCCTGGAACATCGTGCTTTCCAGAGGCAGGGCTCCAACTCGCAGGCTTGGAGTCGAAGTTTCGCAAAGTCGTGCTTGACCGTCTCCCACCAGTGCCGGGGCGCCTCGCCGATCCCATATCCAGGTTTCATGACCTGGAGGATTTCCCCTTCCTGCACGTGGAAGGCCTTTCTGAGGACGGCGTCTGG